AGCACTTACGATTACCATGACCAGGATGACTGAGAATCTTCACCGACATTTCCCAGTTCTGTTCTGCCCTTATCTCTGCCATGTCGATAAAGTTTTTTTTCCCCCAAACATTTAAAGTAGATCATCTAACCTTTCCCTGGAACAAAAAAAATAGCCCCTAACCCTCAGTCACTAATGTCAGTTCTCATTTGTTTTCATTTTTTCAGTTTTGATTATTGTAAAGTTGGTTTAAATTTCCTTCTGACTGACATTGTCACTTTATGTCCATTAAAAGTGGTTATTTTTGCCACAGAGCAACTCATATTGGTGTCTCTTTGCTTTTCACTTGACCTGGGGCCTCATGTACAAAAACTTAAATCCAGAAAACGTCGTACGCACAAAATCCAGATGTATGACTCTGTGCATACGCATGAATCCAAGCACATTTCCTTTGTACATCCCAATCAATGTGGACACATGTTGAGTACCCGACCCCTCCCTGTCCACGCCCCATTTAAATATACAAATCATATTAAAAAATCCCGGCACCTGAGATTTCCCCTCTCTGCACGATCAGAAAAAAAAAAAGAAAAACTTCACAGAATGTGACTTGGAGACACTACTCACTGAAGTGGAGATGCGCAAAAATGTACTTTTTGGCATGCTGTCCTCCGGCATCAATACTAAACGCAAGAGGAGTGAGTGGGAGAGTGTGTGTGAGGCTGTCGATGTTGTGGGGTCAGAAAAGCATACACACGCAGAATCAAAAAAGAAGTGGTCCGACATTAAGGTGGATGTGAAGCGGAGGACGGCTGCCCACTGCCAAAGTGAGGCCAAAACAGGCGGGGGGACAGGAGAGGAGGAGCTCAACCCGTTGGAACAGAGAGTCGCCACAACTGTGGGTGACACTGCTCTCTCAGGGGTGGTGGGAGCACGTGTGGGTGACTCGGATTACCCCAAGGTAGATACCTATAAATTTGTGTAACTTACAACAAATTTGTTCATACGGGTCATACAATAGCCTGCTCACAGCCCTTTAAGATAGAGGTTCATGTGTAAATGTTCATGAATGAATGCAGAAGTGTGCTGGGGAAGAGGTGAGGCTGATTAAGAAATACGCAGGGGTTTATTGACATGAGTACTTTACACACAGAGAGACTGATGCTGTGAAGACAGGATAATATTTGGGGGCGCACATGCTCACTGCGCATCAGGGGGCTTAATATTAGGACAATTATACAAATAAATTATTTACTCACCAAGAAGCCACCCTTCACGCACAGTGCCAGCTAGTAGTCTGTTCCCAACCATGCCTGATTCCATGTGAATGCAGCATAAATCAATATGATTATCTGATATTAATTTGTTTACTAACACTGCTTTAGATGATAGAGACCTGATATTTAACAGTCCTCATTTAATTCTCCTGTTTTGTCTTTCTGTCACAGAAGAGGTTTTAATTTTTATGAGGTTGTTATGCACAACTCCTCTTTGTTTAATTTTAGATTTAGGTAATTTAGGTGGTTGGGGGACAGACACCATTTGTATATAACTGTGGGTGGGTAACTGCACTAGAAGCTCAGAGACACGTGTAGGACTGCGACTCTGAGTCCTGGTCTCAACTCTGGGTTGTCAGGGTTTTGAATTACTAATAAACTTAGCCAGGTTCCCAGATATGTGAGCAGCTCCAAGTGGGATGAATGCCGTCTCTCCTAAAAAGACCAGATTTTCCCCAGAAAGTTTGCAACTGATTAACGAAACCCACATTGTTTGCTGGACACCACCTGGACAGCCAGCGATTAAATGATGACATATGGCTAAACATGTCATCAGTGGTCAGATTTGGGAGGGGTCCGGAGAAAACTACGGAGTCCGACATAGTTTTTGCGTATTCACACACCGAAGCAACATTAATTTTAGTGACCTCCAATTTGCGTAACCGGATGTCATTCCCGCCGACGTGAATAACGATCTTACTAAATCTACGTTTAGCCTTAGCCAGCAGTTTTAAATTTGACTTTTAAATTTGTCGTCCCCTCTGGCCCCAGTGATACATTTGACTATGGCCGCTGGTGTTGCTAACTTCACGTTTCTCAAAATAGAGCTGCCAACGATCAGAGTTTTCTCCTCAGCGGGTGTGTTGCTGAGTGGGGAAAAATGGTTAGAAACGTGAACAGGCTGGTGGTGAACTGTGGGCTTTGGCTTTGAACTACGTTTCTCCCGGACAGTTACCCAGCCTCCCGGCTGCACAGGGGTTACCAGGGGACCGCCAGCAGAGGCTAGCCAAGGTTTGAGGCAAGAGAGCCATGTTTGAAGACTGGTGTTTCACTTAGGTGTGACCATGAGGCATCTTGTGGAGATGAGTGCCAAATGGCTGTCCTTTGTTTGATCAACAAAGAACATGCGGTCTTGTTCACCATTTCAGGTGGCAAGACCCAGAGGAATAGCCTCCACATGTCCAGTTTAGATCTGTACAAATGACAAAATATCTGTGGTCCAGTTAAAGGGAAATTTCGGTTTATTTCAACCCATCTCCTATCGTCCTAAATTTGTTTCAAGTGACTAGTGACATAAAAATATTAGTTAGCATGTTAGCTGTTAGCCTAGATACAGCCGGGGCGCATAGTAGCGTCAGACCCGTTAAAACGTAAGTGAACGGGCATACCTTCAAGTGCAAAGTTAGTCCACTAAGCAAGCTTTTTTCCACAAAGACCGCCTCATATCGTTAGGATAAATGTCAGAGAACATATAGAAAACGACATGTAAACGTGTTGTCTTACCTTACCAGTGTGGTGCCGTGTTTGTTTATCCCTCTAGCTCGAAATATATCTCGCCAGCTCTAGATAAAGCCCAGCTGGATACTAACGTTACTCCAGGTGGAGGTGTCTCGTCCTCGGTCACATCCAGACCTTGAAAATAAGGCTGCAACCGGTCCCATTCCTTGCAACAGAGGCATTCCTCACAGGTACACCACCAATTTCCAGAGCTACGCAGCATTGCAGCAGCCATTCGTCCTTTACCTGTTGAGCCTCTCTCTCTCCTCCTCCGTTCTTCAATTTCACGAAGCTCTTCGTCAGTGTATCCTTCCAGCTGTTGCTGCTTGTTCAGGCACGCTATGAGATCGCTGCTTGTTCTCGCGATATTTCGGCCGCGCTTTGGAAAGCAGAGCTGTGGTGCGTTCCAGGCAACCCGTAACTCGTGTTTTCACAACCTGTAACCCGTGAAAGTGCACTGGAACGGCAGTCAAACCCGTAACTTCCCACCCATGAACTCATACCAAAGTGATGTACTCCCAGTTCCGACCTCTGACGTCACATAACCCACAAACAAATATGGCAGCCCCTGTGGATGCGGTGATGCTGCGTCTGATACATGGTAGACTTTAGGACAATGTAAAACTGTCTGTTAAACTGTTTGTGCACCACAGAAACATCAGTTTGTCACGGTCACACTGATTTTGTGTTCACGTTTGTGGCTGTGCACCTGGAATGCTTTGAAAAAGTATTGCAATTTAATTTTGTCTTTAATGTTATTATCTTATATATATTATCTTTGCAATATGATTATCTTATATAATGTTATTACTATCCTAAAACATTCTCCAGGTCCTCTGAAACTCTGCAGGACTTATTTCCACCCTGCCCAGTCAGCGGTACCATGTCGAACGGTCCCTAACTGCGGGGAGAACGGAGCAGGCTTCCCCGGAGGTCCGCCGCTTTTCCCGGTCTCTCTTCTCCGCCACACTTTGACTTATTTCCACCCAGCCAACAGCCTGGCTGTGGAGAACGGTCCCTAACTGCGGGGAGAACAGAGCAGGCTTCCCCGGAGGTCCGCCGCTTAACCCGGTCCGTCTCCTCCACACTTTGACTTATTTCCACGCTACCGACAGTGGGACTTATACTCATTGTGCCGACAGTGGCTTGGAAAACCACCCATAACCGTGTCACACGGGTAAGAGGGAAGAGGGAAGGCGGCTGGAGTTCCTCCAACATTTGCGGTTAGGCTATCATATTTTTTTATTGACAAAAATATAGGCTGCTTCGGCTGATTTTTTTATGCGCACATGTGCCCCTAAATATTTTTTACAGTTCGCACCCACCTATTTTTAGTCGCAAATGCGAGTGAAACGCTCGCACTGTCGAGCGCTGGGATATATGATTTATTATTACTATTTTGAAAAGAAACTAAAGAAAAATTTGATCACAAAAAATAAGATAATCATCTGTTATTCCCACAGCGGGGAAATTTGTGGTGTCACAGCAGCAAAGAGAATAGTGTAATAACAAGAAGCATCAGCAAGATGTAATGAATATGTAAAAGAGTAAAATAAAAACCTCTGCTGCCTTTTTTTCCCGCTCTCCTTGTCCACTTTTCATGCGTATACTCTGTTTCAAATAATGGCAGTGACAGAATTCAAAGGCCTGAGACATGTTATAAATCAGGTAAATAATCATCCATGATATTGAAAATCTTTTAGACAACACTAAAATACAGTTTCTATAAACTACTCAGCTTATTATACTCTTTCCTAATCTCACACACACATCTCGTGATGTTTCAGAAAGAGACATCTTCTTAAGGAGGCATAACATTTTAGATTGGATCAACTGAAAGGTAGACAGATGCTTCAGACACTTAGAGTAACAATCTGAGCTGCCCTGTGGAAAAAATTATCACTTTTAGTAGACATAAAGTGACGATGTTCAGTTGCCCCGTGTGCTTTCATTGCAGCTAATGGCGCAGCTGCCGGCTGCCAGCTCCCTCAATACTGGACCAATTTCAAAAATTGTTGTTCATATCAGTCTCTTTTATCAATTTACGCCGGGAAATAGGGTCCAGTATGAAAAATGGCCATAAGATACGATAAAATACACCTTTTATCAATCCCACAGTTGAGAAATTCCAGAATACTTTATTAATCCCTAAGAGGAAATTCAATTATCCTTTAAATCTAACTTGCCCTCAGCTGTAGGAGCCCTGATATGTATTTACAGTTTAAGTCCTGTTTGTTTGTATTCCAGCTATGAGTAAACTCCCCCAACCTATCAACTTGACCCTGAACTCAAGCCATTTCAATCATCTTCTGAAATGGGAGCCTGGACCAGGGACACCCACAGGAGTCTACTACAGTGTCACCGTTAAGGCACAAACGTGAGTTTAATTTGTGTTTGTCTTTATGCTTGTGTGTATTCATATTGTGTGTATACTTAACAGTGTCTTAGGAAATATCTAAAGAATCAGTCAATTGCAGCCTCTTTGATGCACTTTTGTTATGGGTTACAACAGAAACAAGATTGGGAAGATGTTTGGGAAAGTTGTCAGTCACAGAGAAGTGCACTAGGTTACAGTATTAAGTCTCTCCAGCCAACTACTGCTCCAGGCAGGTTAGACCAAACATTTGCACAAGCCATCCTGTCATACAAACAGTAGGAAGTGTATCCGATACCAGCAAAATGTCACAGATTCACAAAAAATAGTTTCCTGTTCTGTTAGGTTTGTTGATAAGAGGAAGTGTGAAGCTTCAGCTGATTCTTCACCTGTTCCAGCATGTGTTTCATAAGAAATGCATTTTACTGTGAGGACAGTGGTAGGCCTTTACAATGAAATTATTCCCTAAAGGCTGTTTCTTTCCCTCCTCTTGGTCCTGAAGGGGCACTTCCTGGATGCCAGTGGCTGGCTGCGAGCATGTCCAACATCCACTGGTTTGCAACCTTACAGAGGCCTTCTCTGAGCCAGAACAGGTCTACTTCACCCGGATTGAAGCCCTGCTGAAAGTACAGGACTCACAAGAAGTAGTCCTCCCAGGATTTCAACCCATTAGAGACAGTAAGAGGCACTGTATTGAAACTAGAAGATGTTAAATAAAAGGGACAGTTGGAAGAAAAGGAAACATGAACACAAAGTTTGCAGAATTTCACACAAATATCTAATAGGATAAAATGATGAAGTGGTGACATTTTATATCCAAAAGGTCAAAGGTCAGCTTTACTGTGACATCATAATGTTCTGCAAAAAGTCTTTTCTGGCCATTACTCGACATCATATCTCAAGAACAGAAGGGGAGACATTTGGCCAGATACTGAATTGGGGACTCTAATCTTGGGTGCTGTTTACGGTACCTTAATTCATGAGCAGAGGAGTTACACTTGTTCATAGTGGTTACCTTTCTGCATTTTTAATGAACTATTGGAACTTAATTATGTGATGGAAATTTGAGTTTATGTAATTAAATATTTCTTTTGTCCCTGTGTCTCCAGCTCAGCTGGACCTGCCATGGCTGACTGTGACACCCTGTGGCAAAGATTTGTGTGTGGACCTTCAGCCTCCTATGGGGCACCTTAGGGAGTACTATGATTCTCTGAATTACAAACTCAGGATCAGGAGCAACAATGCAAATGGAGCTCAGGTACTGCACACAGACTCACATACAGACTTGTGAGAGTTTTATACATACAGAGTTTTACCCACTAATAAGTTAAAAGGGACAGTTTGGATTTTTTGAAGTGGGGCTGTAAGAGGTACTGCTTTCCCTTCCTGTCAGACAGCCCTTTCCTTACGCACCACATTATCTTAACAGTAGAACTTCCGCATTCCTATGCATGAGCCCAATTCTGCCATGCGGCAAGAATATGGAAGTTGTGAGGTTGAGAAAAGTAGTACCAAAGGAAAGAGCTGTCTGACGACAAGGTAAAGCGGTGAAGTTATTCTCAATATAGCATCCACTTAGACTGACACTGATTTTTTTAGGTAGGCCTTTTTTAAGTGGCTAAAATATGTATAGCTGTTAACCCAAATCCATAGTAATGCAATGAATGCTCGACTTGCTCAAAGGAATCTGTGACTGATGATTTTGAATCTCCAACTCTCAGGGGGCAGCCCCATTTAAAGGCGATTTGAATGAACTGGTGTTAATGATGTACTGCACCTATTGTATACATTACACAGCAGTCTCAATCATAGCTTCCTGTGGTTTCATTTGTGAGAATGATGCTGTGTTTGTTATGTTGTTTTCTTTGAGTCTTGATGTCTGTTTGTGGATCTCTCTGTGAGCAGTTCTTTGAGGACAACAAGTCTCTGAAAAGGAAGATTTTGAAGGATCTGGCCTCCGGCAGACAGTACTGTGTCTCAGTCTGCTTCTTAGACAGTCACGTGCCAAGGGAGTCTAACTACAGCCAACCTGTGTGTGCTGTCACCGCTGGCTACTATACTGCAGGTACAGGTCAATGTTTGTGTACATGGTTCTCCCGCTGTTATTTTCCAAGTAGTTCATCATCTGAAAGGCCTTGAACAAACCACACAGGTGTTTTCAGTTACCCTGACTGATTAAGCCTCTAGTCAGGCCAGTATAGAGTGTTGCAGGAATAGTGTTTTTTTTTTTTTGTGTGTGTGTGTTTGTTTTGTAGGCCAACCCAGAAGTTAGCATCGCCCCAGTTCCCTTGACAAAATACCATAGGTATTTTTGGGAATTTTGGATTGTTGCAAAAAAAAAAAAGCTCTGTAGCAAACAAAAGTCTTGTTCAGCAAGATCACAAATAATGATTTTTGAAGCCTAAATGCAATGGCCAGAAGTAAAAAGCCAACATAAGGTCATTAACAAACTGCATAACAGTAGCATGACTTAAGCATCACCACCTCAATGAGGCTGAAAGCCGTGTCTGCAGTCTCATATAGCCACTTTTTGAAGACAAGTGAAATCCACAAGTGGGGTATTTACTGATGTAAATTATGTAGAACAAAACATAAAAGTCTCTAAAGTTTGTGTTAACCACAGACCTTATTTCAGGCATTTAACCAAAAATCCATTCAAAAGCCATTGACTTCAAGAAAAGGCAACCAGGAGTACTAAAATACTAACTAATTTCCAGTTTTTAGGACTCAATGCAGCAGCGCTCTATACCTTTTCAGAACTGCATGTTGGCCATTCTGACATTGTCAACTGGACATTTACACCCACTTCACACAGTGACAGGCCAGCTGTGTCGAAGTGAGAAAGGAACCAGAATTTGAACTTCTCTTAAACTCTCTTTTTTTCCTTTGTTACACAACTATTTCTGTGTCTTATCATGTGGAAATCCAAATGCAACACTATGAATGTCTTCTTTTTCAGACTCTCAAAAAAGCAGGGTGTCTGCAGGGTCTTAAAAAGTATTAAAAGCTGATAAATCAAATGTCGGAAAATGAAGGCCCTTAAAAAGTATTAAAAAGTCTTAATCGCAATTTTATGAAGTATTAAATTTTATTGGCATTCAAGCTTTGACAAAAAGTATCCATGAATATATAATTTATTTTCCTCCTCGCGACTATTACAAACAACGATGTGTAGGTTGACACACTCGGACTGCCACTCGGGGTGGGGGCTGAGCGGAAAAAGAAAGTCCAAAAAAGTTAATAACTTAAAAATTATGGCGAAAGGGTAGTTTCTTGCAACCCTAGAATTAAGATAAAAATATTCACAAACAAAAAAGCACTTCTGGTTGCTGATAAGTAGTGTTTAACTTTTGATTTAACACTAAAATTTAAAACCCTCGGCGCGCACTGCAGCGCAAGCAGACAGATGTGCGACTCAGAGCAGCATGTGTCACTGACACCAGACTCAGAGCGCAGCGGACCGGTGGAAAATGTCACCATCAGCATATTATTTTACATCAATAAAATCTATTTTATCATTATTTTGAGTCACATTATTGAAAGAATTTTGTTGTCTGTATTCAAGCAGGATAATAGGTCTCCATTCATTGCACGTCAGGCTTTCTATTTCCTTGTAGTTTTCTTTTTTAATAACCAACCACAAACAATCAATCAATTAAAAACACAAACTGGAACTGGAACATGAAATCTTATATGCCTAACAGACATTGCTTCTCGTTCTTTGAGTTTACATATGGCTAAAGGGGAAAAAAACAACCATAAAATGACGGCATGATTAGTAAGGTCCCCCCAGAAAACGGGAGGAAAAAAAGGCAGAATATTCAATTTTTTTTTTTTTTTTTTTTCTCCCCACAGTCGAATCCTGTGCCATCAAACGAAGGTTTGATGGCACGGGATTCGATTGTGGGGGAAAAAAAAAAGCTTCAAAGCAAAGCCCTAAATTTAATTGCAAACTACAACTGTTTAGTAAGTTAAAGATGCGTTGCTGCTAACGACAGCTTGAGGTGGTGATGAGGTTTTACGTTTTTTTTGGAAGGTCTTAAAAAAGTCTTAAAAAGGTATTGAAATTAACCTCAGGATTCCTGCATATACCCTGAAAAGTAACAAGGAAAAACTATTAACAGTAAGGGAATGATCCTTTCCTTACAGTATACTCAGTGATTTGTGAAAATAATGTCAGGCCTATGGGATTTTACATAGTTGACCCATTTTTCCCATCGTGCAACAAATTGTTCTGTTTTATGGTTGACAAATATTATTACCCTCTTCATCTTGTAAATTTCCATTGTAATGTCCTTCCATACCGGGCAAGGTACTTAAGTTCCGAAAAAGTCCATTTCATCAAGGTCTTTCTTGAATCGCCTTAGTCTGGTCCCTCCCCTGGGACCACTTTGCCTAGAGAGATCCTACCAGAGGCTATTAGCCCCGGACAACACAGCTCCTAGGTATCTGTATATATCTGTATTGGTTGGAGGCATTATGTTTTGAGGTTGTCCGTCAGGTTGTATGCCCATAAGTACATGCAAACATTCATTCTGTTGTTGTGAACATAATGTCTTGTGAATGCGATGAGGAAATTTCTTCAAATTTGGTACATACAATCACTTGGACTCAACAATAAAGTGATTAGAACTTGGTGGTCAAAGGTCAAGGTCACTGTAACACAACATCCATCTTATTCTCATGAATACAATATCTCAAGAGGGTCTTGGGGGAGATTAATCAAACTTGTTACCAATATCCACTTGGATTCAAGAATGAACTGATTCGAATTTTGTGGTCAAAGGTCACTGAGACCTCACAAAACATGTTTTTGGCCATAACTCAAGAATTTATAAGCTTATTTTAACAAGATTTCCCACAAATGTGTCATAGGAGAAATGTTTACATCTCTTCACTAGCTTTCAGCACTAGTTAAGCATGAGATCTTGGTTTTAGTACTATTTATTTTATCTTGATTTGTTTTTACAATGTTTTATTGGTCATTTTATTACGTTTTATTGTTTATTTTTACCATGTGTTTTAGAGAGGGATGTTTATATTTATTTTATTTTATTTATATTTGTTTATATGTATTTACATGCATAGCCTGTACAGCACTTTGGTCAACTGAGGTTGTTTTTAATGTGCTATAGAAATAAATGTGACTTGACTTGACTTGACTCTTGCGCTGTTACGAGCATGAGCCTCTGGTCCATAAGTAGATGCACACTTCCTTCTGCATGGTGATTATTTTGGCTAGTGTTGTTGATGGAAAGGAAATAGTTCCTACACGAAACTGCTCCAAACAAGCTCTGGGGTTTATCTTGAGTAACTTGGTCATTTTTTCTGGAAGCAGACATTGATGGTGAGGTTTTTAAATGTATTTTTTGGTGCCTTGAGAACAACAAGCTGAGTGCCATCTAGTTCCATTATATAGAAGATAAGGCAGACACCTCTACAACTGATAACTCCAACACTCAAGACTTATAACTCACAAGACTTATAAGTAGCACTACAGGTAATATAGGAAATGTATGTATTTTTGATTTGGAGATGAACTCTCCCTTTAAGTATCTGCACTCTATTTGTAATAAATAAATAATACTACTTAATCAGGTGAAGATTAACCTCCAAGTTGTATCATCTTTGCCAAAAAGAGCACTGGCTGAATTGTGTTAAATGCTGGTGTAAAATCTAAGATGAGAGCCCTGGCTTAAGTTTTAGGCTCATCTAAATGCTTCATTATTAGGTGCATCAGCATTACAACTGCATCATCTGTGCTGCAATTCTGCTTCTATGCAAACTGTAAAGTGTCCATTTTGCTATTTACAGACTTAGTGAGCTGTTGAATTACAGTTTTACAGTAGGAGTTAACACCACAGAAACAATAATCACTGAGTTCTGTAGGACATGCTGTCTTTGGAAGAGGTTTTATATATGAGGTCTTTCACATATCAGGAATTTACTTAGTGTCTAAAGTGCACTAAATAATAGGTTACCAAAGGGGTGTAAGCTCAGCTGCAAATGAGTGATATGACTCTGTCACATATTCTAACTCTATTTTCAAAATTTCAGTTTGTTTTGGTGTATTTTTAAGTGATTTATCTCTTATTTTGGTCCTGACAATGGTCCTGATATTCTTAAATCAGGCTTTGAAATCAACAGTGAGCCCCAGCAGTATCAGTTGCACAGGGGCCAGGGGTTCATGTCCCCTCCAGAACATGAAACATGAAATGATGAAGATGATGAAGCTTGCTCTGTTTCAAGTCATTCTGGGTTTTTGTGTGAATAATATATCCCATAAACTGCTGTCCTCTTTGCAGACCCGTTGATCTCAGCCTTGTTGTGTTTGTTGGTGATATCTGGTGTGGGTGTTGTGGCCCTGCTGATCTCTACTGGTTTTATCTGTCTGAGAAAGAGGCCCCTGCCATCTGTCCTGGTAAGTAATACACTTTATTGTAGTGCTGAAAGCAGGGGCTGGTGGTGCAGCACTAATGGTAGCACTTCTTGGAAGGCACTGGGACTGCCCCCTCTAAATTGAATAGTAAATTCATCTGAGGTTTTCTGAAATTTTTTGTGTTGTTTTGTTTTGTTGTGTTTTGTTTTTGAAAATGAGCAAAGACTTATAAGTCATTACAGAAAAATGAAATGCCACATTTCTAGCATAATTATACTTACAAAGCCTTCAACAAGCAGTAGATTTAAAGAGATACTTTTGAGTCAGCGCATTCTTTGTTTTACATACTGACAGCCCTGTACCGAAGCCGTATGTTGGCACGACGGAGTGGTGCTTCATAAGAAGTGTTATGTTAACAAGCTCAAAAGTCAGGTGATTACAAAGTTACTGGAATTCAGTGACTTAGAACTATTTTTTTCTGTTTCGGTCAGACAGTTTAACAGTTGGGTCATGAAGTAACAGATTGTTCATTCTGATTCTACTGTAGGTTTCTGTAAGAGTAAGAAACACATCTCTGAGTCACCGATTACTTTTCAATAACTTCAGAATTTGGGCTGTATCATCTTATACCCAGCACAAGGTGGCGCACAGTGCAAAGCAGCTGTCATTGCCAGTTTTAAGCCGACAGACATATCATTTTCACGGCCAGCACCCATGCTGTGTAAGTAGCAGATGTACTTGTGCGTATCTGTGCGCCCATAGGCGTGTAGGTCTTAAAATGAGTTATGGTCAGGCACATTGTTCATGTATTGTTCTGCTGCCTTGTGTCACAGCAGAAAGCAATGGTGCCGTTGACCAACAAAAACTGGTTTAAAGTCAGAATGGTGCAGTATTTTCCTGCTATTTAAAAGGTCCATTGCTACAGTGACACTACTGCTCCTACGGCATTACTCCTATGAATAATTAAGGGACTAAATAGCATGTGTTTATGGAAACACCCCAAATGCACCTGCGCCATGCACTTTAGACCATGCGCCGCAGGTCGTTTAAATAGTGTCCTTAGAGTTAAATGGTCCTGCACACCCTCACAAGGGTTTACACTCACTCTGTCAGACCTCTGCTCAGGCTGAGGTTGGACAAAGTCATGCCTGATTGGCAAAGAAAAGACCACCAAACATCATGTAACAAATATAGCAGCATGGGCAATTCTGGGGTTAAAGCCAGCATGGACCTTTAAAAGTTGAGAGGCTCAAGACCTTTGACAATTTAGGATGCCTGCAGTAGACATGCTCTAATGGCTTAGTTAAAAAGTCCACCAAGTTAAGTGATGTTTGAAGAAACCCTTATTGATTAATGGCCAAATTTTGCAAAAGGCCATTGTGCTTGTTTGGAACTGATGGTGACCTCTATTGGGCGATTTCAAAATCATTTAACAGAATTCTCAATTGAGTAAAGGTTGCAGTGAGGATAAGTTGTGTCACAATTCAGTGGACCTGCTGAGGTAATGTGAAATGTCTGGAAATTTCGATTTATTGTAATAAGCCACGCCCTCTTAAAGCAATCATTTCTAAGTTTTATGCATGGACTGAGACATGACCCTAGATGATGCACACCGAATTTCTTACAAATTTCTGCAGCTTATTATGAGATAAAAAATATTTTGTACTTGGATCGCCCCCTAATGGTCGATGTAAATAAAACTTTTAGGGTGTGATTCAGGTACGTATGTGGACATGTCCTATGAGTTTTGTGATGATTGGCAGAAAAGTTAAAGAGTAAAACCCATTAATGTGCCGAGCTACGTCCCATCTAAAGTTCATTGGTCAGTATCATCAAAACGCAACAACATATCAAAAAGCTTTTGATAATTTTTGATGAGATTCATCTAATGATAATCTACAGAAAATTTGGTACAAATCAGACCTATGGCTCATGAGGAGCTATCAAAAATGTGTTTTTCAGAAAATTTGAAAAGGCAGAAAATCTAGTCAGGCAGACCTTAATGGCTCGAGTCTTTAGTAGAGGACATTCAGCTGGACTTGTGTGTCAAATTTCAAGTCAATCTTACAGCGTGAGGGGGTGGCCTTTCAACACAAAATTTCTTTGCTCTTAATTTTAGCACCCCCATCTGGTCAATTTGCATTATATTTCTTGAGCACCATTTGCACACAACTTCCAATTTCATGTGTCTACACAGTGTACCATCATCTGGAATTTACGAAAACATATCTGAAATACAGATGCAAGCGGCAATTCTGGGGCAAGTATGCCAGGATGGATCTTTAAATTGGACCTATTATGCTTTTCTCAGGGTCATATTGATAAATATGTAATATCGGGGTCTAATGGAATAGATTTATGTGCTTTAATGTTCAAAACACACATTATATGTCTTGTACTGCTCACTGCTGCAGCACCTCTGTCTGAAACGCTGTTTTTAGGCTTATGTCCCACCTCCTCAGCAGCCCAGTATGCTCTGACTGGTCAGCTCGCTCAGTCTGTTGGAAATGGTGCAACGCTAAGAGCATGTATTGGAAACATCACGCCCTTTACCTTATCTCACTTCACCTCCGGAGGCTGATGCAAAACAACAACAGAGGCTTAGCTAACAATAGCGGCTGTTCGCCGTCCACCCTCATCAATTTGCATGAAGAAACACGAGCCGATAGACGAAACTAACAGGAGCCGGACGTTTCTTCTTAGTGGTAAGTTTTTCTTTTGGAGCCCTCTTATATTTCAGCTGTAACACGATAATTAACTTGTGACATTCTGGTAACAACTGTATGTCTGTCCTCTGACTGAATGAAGGGAAACCGTCTGCTGCAGAGTACAAAAGGTTTCTAACAATATAGTCAGTTACTAGCCGATATAACTAGCCGCTATATGGCGTGGTGTAAAGAATAACTCCTTTTTTTTTAATCTTAGCAGGCTTATCTATGATGAGACTTAGGTAGCTTGTATTGGGTAATAATACCAAAGTTATTATAAATTCTGCTACAAACACATTCTCCGTTAAAACCACAAAAGTTTTAACCCATGAATTCATCAATTTTACCAGAGCAGACTGAGATGACAGATTTCTGTATTATACAAAAGCAAATGAATAGACATAACTGGTACATTCAGATGTCTTAGCTGTCGTGTTTACTGAAACCATTCTACTAAGATGTAGCTGCATTTTATAATCATCTTTACCTTGTGTTTGTAATCTACAATATGAACAATTTAGTGTATCACAGTTTCTCCACAGCATTTCTATGAAATCAAAGTTTCATAGTAAAACACATGTTGCTTCCTGGATCAATACTTGTTTTATGCAGTGATGTTGTCTCCTGAGTCTGTATTTGCTTACTTATTAAACAGCATGCTCTGTGTCTTTTTTACCTATTAGTTTTTGGGGTAATGGACCAGGTTCCAGTTCATCCTACTAGGGATGTCCCGATCCAGGTTTTTCACTTCCGATCCGATACCGATATTCCAGCCTTGAGTTTTGGCCGATACCGATCTGATCCAAGTGCGTATTATACATATTCACTTATTTTGTTGTCAGTCATGTTAGAAAAGGTTTGATCAAGCGATATTACTCTAACAAGAACAACTACTTAATCGGGTTAGTTAGAATGATCCACAACAGTTGGTATGAGAAACTGACCCGTTTATTGTTAACAGGAAATAAACAAACTTTAAACTTGAACATTAACATTAAATAAAAAATATAGCTGGTTTCCTTTGGCTGCTTTGGCCCCTTAATAAATAGAAAATAAATCAATACAAGAAATCTTTAAAATGTCCAACACTGAAATTAAAATAGCAAGACTCCACACACTTGTGCTTTGGCTCCCTAATAAATAAAAATAGATTAACATCACAAAACATTGTTGACATTTAACAAACAATGCAGCCTTTCCTTTTCATTTATTTTAGTAGTGTCAGTGCCAGCCTGGTGCTGCTGTTTCCTGGGACCAACAGAGGGGACAAAAAACCACACACAATATTGTACAACTGTTTAAACAAGCAATAGTCCATCCATGGCTCCAATTTCACTAATTGTGCCCAAAACAATTGTAACCCGGGGGAAAAAACCCTTATTAATTTATCCCCTTTTCTCTCAAAACGTAAAATATTACGTGATGCCGTGCGTCATCACGTCACGTCGTTACGCCGTCATGTCACAGAGCGGCAGGTAACGTAACTCAGTTGTGGCTGCTGCCAGTAGTAGCAAGAGGAGCTTGCTGGGGAAATGTTTGCTGCAGGAGCCGACTACCGGAGCCGCTGAGCGTCTGAATCGGAGCCTTATGCCGATTGAATCACGGAATTGGCCAGGTTGATGGCGAGCTAAGAGTCTAGCCTGGGCACAAAGCCTGAAGACTGTGCCTGGAAGGAATCAACTGAACCTCCACTGCTCTAGTCGGGCTGGTAGGAGGCTCTTTTGTGCAGCCGCTCCTCTTCCTAACTTTTGCCCCCTCGCAACTCACTAACGGCCCATACATCCACCACACACATTCACCCCCCAATACGGACCTTTTCCCCCTTCCATTGGACACTCCAAAGTTGGGCCGTTGTACTGTGGTTGTGCCTTGCCATTACAGGCGAAGCTTGAACTCCCTTTCTGGGCAATTATGGATCATCTGTGTTCTGCAAAGTCATTTAATGTCGAATGATAAAATGAACTGTATATATTGTGTTTTCCTATGAATGGCCATTTGTATTCTTATTCTATTCATTGCTGTTAATATTTAATGTGTTTATGGTTCACAATTATATGGTGTCGCTAAACCTAAACTGTGTTCAGTGTCTCACTCTCCACTCCTAGAGTCCAACCTAGTCTTCTGAACCTAGCCCAAATAATAACTGTGTAGTATCTGTTAGCGCCTAAACTGTGCTTAATAGGGTAGTGTGCATGTTACACAATGCCATCAGTGCTCTTTACTTAAACAGTAAGAGTGTAAACCAAATAAAAATATCACTCTCAAAAAACCAGAGCAGAAAACAAATAGTCAGTTAACTAAATTGACCGCTACTCTTCCTACCCTTCCCTTCGT